CAGCACCAGGAGACTTGAAAACGGGCTGAATCCCTCCACACCTTGCCATTAACATTCCAGTGCAAGGGGAATCCCTCTGATATCTCAGATTTCCTACCAGCAGCTTAAGGGAGCACTGGACTCCACCTGCCTTTGGAATAACTGCATGAAAGCCCCTGTTCTTGCTCACCCAAGGTTTCAGCTCCCCACATCTCTGCTTAAGCACATTTAGCATGTGGATTGGGCACTTGTTTCCAGCAAGGGCTCCTAGTCCTTGCAAAAAGCACTCTTATCTGTGATTTCAAACTCTTAGATAAACTCACAGGGCTTGCAAATAGAGCAGGCAAAGTTTGCAGAATGTCATATGCCCAAGAGGACTGGTATTTTGAGCTTAGGAACTCTTCTACCAAATATCCATTTTCCCCCTCTACCCTGCTCAGGCTGGAGAGGAAGCTCTGAATCACTTCTGGTCACTTGTCCCTAGCCCCATCTCAAAAACCTTCAGATACCCAAGAGAACAGACCACAACATGCACAGCCAGCTCTTCTGCTGTGCCCTGCCAGCAACACTCCCCACAGCTGTGAGCAGCAGGGTCTTGCTCCTGTCCCTGCCCTCCCACACCGCCCAGCTCCAGCCCAGCACAGCTTCATGACTCGATCTGTGTTCAGCAACAACACCACATTCTTCAGTGTAGAAATCACTAACATCTGCACAGCTCATGCATGGGCTGTCCAGGACAAACCCCTCGAGGGGTTAGTGGATGGAGGGCTGAGGCTGTTCCCTACTCTGGGAATGTGTTCCTCACCACTGCTCCCCGTGCTCATGGGGAAAGCAGGAGTGGGTCACTAAGAGCCTTGTGTGCTGATCACTGTTGGCCATCCTAATCGTGCTCCTGTGCTCTGGGTCCCACACACCTGGAGCTCTCCCTCCTTCCTCACTGGGACAGGGGAGCTCGGACTGCTCAGGGAATCCTCAAACCTTCACTGCCAGTTAACCCTGCTATGGCAAGTCTTTTCCCTGCAGCTGAACTAGGGTTTTGTAGGAAGTCCACTAGGACAGAAGTGACTGCCACCCCCTCCTCCCACCCCAGAAACTCCAGATGGGACACGAGAGACCATGGCCACCAAACCAGCGTGACACTGGCTTCCCTCATCACCATGGTCACCAACTCAAATTGAGAGCTGTGGTGAAAAGCAACATTTCCAGTTCCTTCTTTTGCTCTCCTTTGCAAACTCAGTTTCATTTAGCTCAGTTATTTCTACCCAGGGGTATCATTTACCAGCCCAACACAAAGGGCACAATTCAGCTTCGAGACCTGGGCCCAGGCACAGCAGGAGTCACCAGAGACCAGAGTAGTGTTACCTGCTGCCATCACCACTGAACAGCCTCTGGAGAAGGCAAACATCACTGAAAGCCAAAACAGGGCCAAAACACCTCCTGGCCACCTGGTCACAGCTTCATTGCTGCCCTGCAGGAGCAGCAAGCAGCTTCCAGCTCCCAGCAGGACAGGGGATGTGAGGAAGCAAGAAGCAGCACAGTGTCTCTCTGGGAGCAAGAAGCAGCACAGAAATGGTGAAGACTGAAGGGAATGCATCCATATGTGATGGCTGAGGGACACATGGCCAGGAGCCCAGCAGCCCCTGGCAGCGTGACACAGAGCAGCACAGGTGACACTGCACACAGGATTAGGATTCAGCTCCCTTGTGTTTCGACTGCAGGGGGCTGGAGAGCCCACCAGCACCACAGCTCTGCTCCAGGTGCAAGGAAGCAACAAGGGGCTGTATTTGAAAGGCATTCCAATCTCCACATTGTGTGTGAGCTGGGCTGTGACTGTGATAAGGAAAACACTCACAATGGCACACAGGAATTCAGTCCCCAGGGCCTGTGACTCAAACTCAGAGTGGCTGAAGTTCCTCCTAAAGCCCTTTGCTTAAGTTCCCATTTTAAGGGGAATGATCTATTAATAAGAACTGCTTTAAAAGCCTCTCCCCCGCTCCTGCCCTGAACAGCCTTTCTTGAGCTCTTGAGAGACTTTTCTAAGCCAATAAACTCAGTCAGGCAAGTCCCAGCTACCTGCACCACAACCTGAGCAAAGCCAGATCCATCCTTGCTCCCCAAAAAGGTGACTCCAACTGGCAGGCCAAGCTCTCCCTGGGATGTTTAAGTGCTGAATGCCAGCCACCCTGCCTGCAGGAGCTGGGAAGGGTTGAGGGATGCTCGTGCCTGCCTTGATGGGAGAAGCAGGCACCTGCCCTCTAACAGGCTGAATTCCTTCCCCACAGCCCAGAGCATTAGAGGGTAAAACAAGGTTGAAACTAATCTGTGCTGGATTAGACCTGCCACCTTGATGCACGAGGCTGGACAATGTGATTGCATTGCCCGAAAAGAGAGGAACAACCAGGAGGGGAGCCCAGAAGAGAGTTCCAGGCTGGAAGAGAGAAGCCAGCACTAGGACTCAGCTATCCTTCAGCAGCACATGTGCACTCAGTCTACTGCCTGCCAGACCCATATCCCAGAGAGAGCTCTGGGGTAGAAACCAGCCAGGAAAACAGGGCTGGAGGGAGCTAATTGTTAGGATGAGACAATGAGATTAAGCCTGATAGGAATTTGGCCTGATAGGTTTTATTAGGAGCACTTGACAGTTTTACAGACTTAGGGCTCTTCAGTGCTGGGGAAACCCCCTCCCTGGCTCCAGCCACAGTATCAGCCCAAGTTTCTGTATCAGCTGTTTGTCAGGGAGGTGTGAGGCTGTTTGCTGCACTCCCCCATTGCCACACAGAGCTGGCAAAGCACAGCAGCGTGGGGGTTGCTGCCCAGAGCACAGTGGCTTCTGAGGATCCATGGGCATCTGCCACCCGTGCTATCTGCAGCTTGGTTTTCAGCTGCTCAAACCCCATCTCGTAGTGCTGAGCCAGCACACGGGGCAGCAAGGATGCAAACAAGCAGCTCTGTCAGTGGGAAGTCACGTAGCTTGTTTCATTTTTGTCACCCAAACCTCAGCCAAAGAAAAGGCCAGAAGTGATGTCAGCTTAAGGGAGAGATAGGGAACCTGTCCCTTGCGTGGGAACAGCCCTGAGCCTCGGGACACAGCAGTGGCACACCCCAGCATCCCAGGAAGCACAGCTTCCCAGACTCAGTCCTACAGCTCCTACCAGCTGAAGGCTCGTGTATCCACCTTGTGCCTGTGTGATGCTGGGGGACGGCTCTGGAGAGGCAGAAACTGCAGCAGTAGGTACAACACAGTCCCCTGAGCCTCAGCCCAAGGGCCAGCACCACCTTGGCTAGGGGAGGTGTGTTAGACCCAGCTACACGCCTTGGTGCAGGGTGTGCTGTGTCGGTCGTCCAGCAGCAAGTTACAAAGGCTCCTTTTTAACCAAGTGCTCTTATTCTACACCTTATGCCATGACATCTCTTTTTCCGCAGCACATCCTAATTTCTAGTTAATTGAATAATTTCTAATGACTTAATTCCCTCTCAGTGACCTAAACTTCACCTCTACTGTCTCACTGGAGGAACATATTGCCACTTTTCAGAGTTTAGTCAGTGTGAGGGCAAGGCGAGCCCATCTCCTCTGGGCTCTCATCTTGTACAGCAATTTGATTTCTGCACTTGTAACACCAAGGTGTCACTAACTAAAGGAGCACCTAAGAAGTGCAAGAAATCCCAGCACTGTTTGCTTCAAGGTTAAAACCTTCTTTTCACCCTCAGAACTGCTCTTAGCTGGGAGGGATGCCAACAGAACTGCCCCCACAACCATGCCAAGCAAGGGACGGGGTAAGCCTGGAGCTCGGGGAGAGGACCTTGCCTGACCCTGGCATGAAGGGCACGAAGCCCAGTGCACTTTGCACTAATCCAAGAGGTTCCATTCCCCCTGCCCGAGGCTTGTGGGACGTCCAACCATCCTGGGCAACCCATTCACCCGCTGCAATGAAAAGCTAGGAAGGCTGGAGTCAGCTCCGAGCAGCAGAAACTTCTCATTCCGGGAAGAAAAAGTTGAAGCGCTCGATACAGCAGAGAGTAGCTAGAAACCCTCCAGGAGAACAATAGCCCCCATTCTTGCTGGAGCACGTTCCCAAAGGGAATTTCATAGCAGCCAGCCCCCGGGCGCCCACCAGCCCGCTCGGACCTGCCGATGCGCGATGCACGGGGAGCAAAGAGCCGCCCGAGAGAGCAGTACCAGGGGATGGAGAGCGATCCCGCAGGAACCCCGCTTCCTGCTGCGGCCGGATCCCCTCCCCAAAGGGGTTTGGGCAGAGGGGTCTCCAGCTCCGCCTGCACCCACCGCCCCCCTCCTCCTCCTCTTGCCCCGCCCGCAGCCCCCTCCCCACTCCCGCGGGGTCGGCTCGGGAGGCGGCCCCAGCCCCACCTTGTTGATCTCCTCCAGCCGCCCGTCCTGCGGGGCCCTGCGCAGCCCCCCGCCGCTCGGCCGGCGCGGAGCCGCCATCGCACCGAGCCTGCCCGTGCCCGCCACCGCCTTAAATAGGGGCGGGCAGGGCCGGGCCGGGCCGGGCCCTCCGCCCATTCCCCGCCCCAGCGGGCGGGCGGCGGAGCCCGCATCGCCCCGCGCCGGGCTCCAGGTGCCCGAGCACGGCGGGAGGCACTGCCGCCTCTGGGCTTCCCGCAGTGAGCGACGGGACCGGCTCCTTCTGTCCGCACCGCCCGGGACGCCGGGGATCGTGCGGAGCTGCCCTGGGAGCGGCATCGCCCCGCCGGTGCCGGCGGCAGAGCGGCAGGGCCGGGATGGCACAGCCGCTTCCAGGCTGCATTAACCCTGCAGTGCGAGCAGCGGGAAAAGGGATGGGCCGAGGTGATGTCCCCGCCAGGGTCGCACGCCCCCGCGGTGTCAGCCTGACACCTTATGTTAAAATCATGTACTAACGCGGAGTTTAGTGGGAATTTTCAGGCGTTTGCCCCTCACCACCCCAAACGTCGCCTCATCTCAACCACTGCTCTTTAAAAGCAACAAATGCAGGTACAGTGTGCTCTCCTGCCACTGCACACCCTGGATGAACAGCTGTGTGTTATATTAAGAATTTTTAATGGATACAGCTCTAGGCAGGTGGCACCAGCTAAAAACAGAGTTCCATGGAGAGCAGGAGGCAGCATGAACATCTTCAGCAGCAGGCACACAGCAGAGGCTTGGCATTTCTGTAAGAGCAGCAAATTTGTGTGCTCACTGGAGATGTGTAATTGTCCTCCCAGAGAGACAGTAAGTGGCCCCGGCCCCCTGCCTCTGGCCAAGCCGGATCACGCTGTGCTCTCACTGTTCCATGGTTTTGCTTTCCCAGAGCTGTCCTTGGGCAGCAGCAGGGGAGCCCCTGCCATCACACTCCCACAGCACTGCAGCTCTGGCACCCCGCTCCTTGGGCAGCTTTTGTGCAGAATTAGAAGGACGATGCTTTGCTTTCAGTATGCTTTGCTTTCAGTAGGAGAATCCTGTGTTCCTTCCAGGCCACTGGACCCACCAGAGATGTTGCTGGGGGAACTCAACATCGATGGCAGCAATTTTACATAAATTACACAAGACTTTAGCAAACCTGATTTGCAGCACTGTGAGCAGAAAAAACATAGGTAAAACCGGTTAAAAAATGAAGCAAGCTCCAGCCTGGGGACTCGTTTCTGGTCTCATGGGAGTGACTTCAGCTACCTGGAGTCACAACACAGCCAGCACAAGGTGGGCTGAGCCAGGACCTGGCTTGTTCTGCAGCCCAGCCCACATGGGAGCACAGAGGAACATAAATGCCTTTCCTTTAATGGCAATACAGCCACTGACCTCTGCCACCCCGTGGGAGTGACACAGGCAGGAGCGGGTGTCCAGCTGTTCCCCCTCCAGTCCACACTGGCTGCACAGCCTGCTGCCATCAGCCAGCTCCTCTCCAGTGGGGCTGGTGGGGCTGTGGGTGCTGCTGCTCTGACACCTCCCTTGACTGCATCTCTGCCACCCAACCCCTGGGATTGGTGGCAATTGGCTGTTTTGTAGCCATGCCTGGTGACATTCAGTGGGCCAAGCAGAGCTGGCTGTGGCCTTGTCTTACCCTGGAGCAAGAGAACAGCAAGACCTGAGCTTCTCTTATATTGGAGCAGGCTGAGGAGGTCCCAGCTGCCTTCCAGGAGCTGGGTGAGGATCCATCTTTGCTTTGTTTCTGCTCATTAATTTAGCCCTCCCTGCTGTGAGCTCCCTTCCCTTGGGAAGCAGGCAAGCTCTGTGCCCTCCGGCAAGCAGCTCTCTGCCTGGCTTCACCAGGATTCCTCTCTGCCCCTCTGTGACCACAGCCCATGAGCATGACACTGCAGGGTGCTGTGCAGCAGGACCAGCTTCCAGCACGTGTGAGAGCCTCTCTCTTCTCCTGGGGCAGGAGGGAGTGCCGGGCAGTACAGCTTGGGTACATTGCATACTTGGTAAGCTGTTCCTGCCCAGTGTGCTGTGCTGCAGTGGGAAAGGAGGGATGGAGGAGATCTGTGAGGATTCTTTGTTCACTCTGCAGTGAGAGACCAACCCTGGAACGGCTCCATATCCTGCACAGAAACATCAGTGCCCCTGGTAGGTGGGTGTCCCCCATCCCAAGGACAGAGGTGGTGGCTGGAGTCATGCTGCAGAGTGCTTGAGACGTGGAGCCTGGACGGGTGTGGAGAAGGACCTGGGGTGTGATACTGGACAGAGGGCAGTGTGAGGAGTGGTGGGAGGGATTGATGCTGCTGAATGCAGAGTGTCCTTCCCTCTGCCACTCCCCTTGCAGGGTGGGCACAGGGGACATGTGGCAGCAGCCAGCGACCTGTCACTTCGCGCAGCTCTCAGGGAGGCTCCGCAAAATGTCCTCCAAGTTCTGCTTGTCAGCCCGGATCTCAGCCAAGTCGCTCTCAAATGCTTGGATCTTCTCCTGCTGCCGTGCTGCCTCCTGCTGCAGCTGGCTGAGCTGGCTGGCCAGGGGACCCGGCGTGGCCAGGCGCAGCCACAGCTGCTGCAGCTGCAGCCTCCCTGCGCTCAGCACTGCGTCCACCTCCTTGTCCTGCTCCAGGTTACCTGGGCAAGGAGAGAGAGGACATGGATGAGAGCAGAGAGGTGGACAGGAGATGTTCTGGATGTACTTCATGGTATCAGGAAAACTATAGGGAGTGGGAGCAGCAGGGCATGGAGGCTTTGCAGCTTCTCACTGATCACAGATAAGCAAACAGAACTGTGGCTCCAGGCAGGGCCTGGCACTTCTCACTCTTACAAATGGGTCATGCTTTCCACCCTTTTGCAAAGTTTCTTGGATGCAAGAGTCCTGGAATGCTCAGAAATATACACATGTGATAAAAGCAGGAGAAACTGGAGCAAGACCAACCAGCAACAAGGAGCAAACCCAATCTAGCACAGCCCTCAGTTCCAAATGGACTTTGCCAGCCTTGCTCCCCCTGAGGATCCCAAGGGAGATCATTTTACCCAGAGCAAATATCAGCACACACATTCAGCAAGCCCCAATTCATTTTTCATGAGGTTTTCCTCAAGACAGGAGCCTTAAAGAAGCCTTGCTGAGACCATGGATGATCTCAGCCAAAGAGCACCCAGCTCGGCCTGGATGGCCATCAAGCAGGAGGACCAGTGAGCAGGAGAGCCCAGCCCTCTCCCTGGAGCCTGCACCCCATTTCCCCCCAGGTCTCACCTAGGCTGTTCAGAAGGTTGTTCAGGGTCTCGATGTCCGACATGAGTGAGCCCCGGGCTTCCTGGAGACTTTTTGCCATCTCACTCACCTCTGACCCCACCTTTCAACAGACACAGACACCCAGATCAGGGACACCAGTGACCCTTGGCTGGATGGTAGAGGAGATCCCAGGAGCATCCCCAAGGTGTTGTCCCTACAGTGGAGCTCCCAAGCTGGGTTGTTGCCTATGCTTTGGGCTGTGGGCAAAGCTGCTTCCATGCTCTGGAGGACACAACCTGCCCATGGGAACACAACTGACCTGCTGTGCCTCCTCCAGGTCTCCCCTGAGCTTCTCAGCCATGTGCTCCTGCCGGGAGAGCTCCCACTGGGTCTCATTGGCACGCGTGGCAAGCTGGCTGGCATGTTTGAGGGCCTGTTTGCTCTCCTGCAGCACAGCCCGTGCTCTCTGCAAAGGGACAGAGGTGGGATCAGTCACCTGGGGACACACAGCCCTGCCTGCAGCAGCCTGGGTCTGTAGGTGATGGCTGCCAGCCTGGCCATGCCCAGCAGCTCCACCCCAACCCCTCAGCTCGGACCTTGGCACTCTCCTCAGAGACTTGCTCAGCCTCCCCAGCTGTCCTCTGGGCTGTGGTGGAGATGGACAGGGAGTTTCCCAGTGTCTTCTCTGCCTGTTTAATCTTCCTCTGAGCATCCACCATCACTCTGTCCCTCACAGTGGCCATCCTCCTCCTCAGGGCAGCCTGACTCTTCCGATGCCCCAGCGCCTTCTTCATGCCTATGGGAGCAACCTGGCCATCACCAAACTGTCCACTTCTCCCCTTGTCACCTGTGAGAGCCAGGTTGTGGCTGGACATGCTCTGACTGGTGCCTTTTACCTTCCAAGCTGGCCAGGAGGGACTCGGCCTCGGAGAGCACAGCTTTTCCTCGGGAGACAGCCATGGTGGCTGTGTCATGAGCAGAGCCAGCCTGGTCCTGCAGCTGCGAGAGGAGAAGAGAGGAGAAATGAGGCTGGGCAGCTGGGAAATGTGGGATTCAGCTTGGTCCCTTTTGGGAGGCAAGCTCTTAGGGATGTCTGGGAGCCCAAGGGAAGATGTCTCCCAAAACATCCTCTCCCAGCTCCCAGGCTGCAGGCATGGTCCCTCCAGTTTCTGAAGCAGCAGGGATGGGGCTCCCCATTCCTATGAGCAGCATTTACCTGCTTGAAGCCACGAGTCCTTTGCAGCTCCAGGTGCAATCCAGCTGCCAGTGTGCGGGATGCCTCCACAGCCTGCTGAGCCAGCGGCTCCTGGGCTGCTGCTGCCTGCTCCAGCACTGCCAGCTCCCGTGCCAGGCCTCCACCCTGCCTTGGCAGCACCTGCTGCAGGATCAGGAGTGCCAAAGGCTGCATGAGATCATCTCCCAGCTCAGAAGGCAGCACTGGTAAAGCAGGAGGTAGGGATGCCAGCTGGAGCTGGAGCTTGGGTGCTACTCACCTCCCTCAGAGCAGCCACCTGCAAAAGTCTCTCAGCCAGGTCAGCATGTGCCTGTTCCACGGCTGTCAAAGCTCTGCTGGCCTCCACTGCCACCTTTGCCATGCCAGCACCCAGCTCCTCCTGTGCCCGCTGGATCTCCTCATACCTGCACAGACAGGACACTGCTGTCAGCTGGGGCCCTCTGGTCCCTTGGAGGATGGAGAGGACAACTTGGCCCTGGACATGGATGTAGCAGGAAATTCTGGGGCCTTTTCCTGAACCTCCCAGCACACAGCAGCCTGTCCCTCTGCTTTACAGCACTGTGGTGTGATGAGTTTGAAGGTGCTCAGCACGTGCCTGTTGGCAGGTGCCCAGTCCCTGTGACTGAGCCCTGTAACAAGGACCTGGCCAGAGGAAAGGGGCTTGGGTGCCCTGCCAGCCCCTCACCCGGCCTCCAGCTCATTCTGCATCTCCTGTGTGGTGTTCCTCTCCAGCAGGTGCTGCAGGAGCTCGGAGCTGGCGTTGGAGGCACGCAGTGCTCTCCTGACCACGGCCTCCACCTGTGCCACGGAGTCCTTGTGGCTGCAGGGACAAGGACACCCAGACAGGAAATCAGGATTGGCCTCCTGGCAAAGGAGTGCCCCCTGCACCCCCAGCTGGGCTGACAGGTTCCTCTGCCTGTTCAACTCTTACCTCTTGGACAGAGCCTGAGCCTCCAGTGCCCAGTGGCTCCAGTTTGTGGGCTGCCATGGGATTTCCTGAGGAATTTCCTTGGAATGCAAACAGCAGCATTGAGACCCTGGCAGGGAGCAGGCACCCCTGGACCCTGCCAGCCCAGCACCACCAAGAACCTCCCAAAGGGCTAGAGCAAGGAAAATACCTCCTCTTGACTCACCTGCAAGGAGGGCTATACCCACATGGACCCCAGGCTTTCCCACTCACCCACTCTGCTGCTCACATCCCACCCCAACAGACCTGGGAAGCACATCCCAGTGCCCCCCAGGATTGCCACCACCCCCCTCAGGAGCCCAGGGCCACTGAGAGCCCCCACCGTGGTAGCCAGGGTGTCTGCAGCGTGCAGGATCTCCTGCTGAGCCGACTGCAGCACGGCCCCGATCTCCGAGAGCAGGGTGCAGGTCTTGGGGGGTCCATGCTCAGAGCATCTGGTGGCTCGGCTGGCGTTGGTGAGACGGCCTTGTGCAGTGTTCAGTGCCCCTGCCAGCTGCCCCACCTGTACCAAGAGGGTGGCCCAGGCACCTGTGGGCAGCACAAGCATCTCGTTGCCCATTGGGGTTGCTCGGGGCTCACTGCTTCCCTGTGGAGCTGCCCCATGCTCCATCCCTTGCCTAACACCTACTAATGAAATGGAAATACAGCCCTTCTAGTGCTCAGGAGGGACCCAGGAATTCAGCACCCAAAGGGTACCCATGTGTTGGTGCTCAGCCCCCCGTAGCACCCATCACTGCCTGCTCCAAGACCTCAGTGGTGTGAGCATCCTGCAGTGCTCTGTCCTCCCAAAAAGAATTGTCCCCTCCACTGCCCTCCCCCCTAGTCACACCACACTGAGGCCAGCACCCACCTGGGACCTCCTTGCACCCCCGCACCATGTCACAGCACCCTGAGGGAGCAGAGAGTGAAACAGGCGGAAGGAAGGAGAGTCCCCTGTACCTCTCAGGAGGTGTGAGCTGGGCAGCCCATCTCCACGGGGTGCATCTCCCAGCATGGCAGACTGTCCTGGGTGGGCATCACAGCCTGGCTTCTGCAGCCATTCCTCCATCTCCTGCAGCCTGGCCTTCAGGCGGTCAGCCTGGCAGGGCAGGGGGGACACGGGGGGACAGTGAGGCACTGCAGGGGTGGGGTGCTGTGCCTGCCTCAGCAGTGCACAGGCTGTACCTCGTCCTTCACCAGCCCGTAGCAGGCAGGACACTGCTGGCAGCGGGAGCTCAGTGGCTCAAGGAAGAAGTTGGCCTGGCAGCGGTCACACTTGTAGCCCACAAAGCCAGGGTGGCAGAGGCAGGTGCTGTTCTCGTGGCACTGCGGGGTGACGGAGCCCAGCGGGGAGCAGTTGCAGGCTGCAGTGGTGGCAGAAAGACATCACACTGTGGCTGCCAGCCCTGCTTTAGGGACACAGACACAGTGCCATTCCCGTTACCTCGGCAGCCCCTGGCAGAGAAGCCGAAGAAGCCGTGCTGGCATCGATCACATTTCTTCCCTGTGACACCAGGTTGGCAGGAGCACTGTCCTGTCAGCGCGTGGCACCCGCTCTCCTGTGACCCTGTTGGGTGGCACTCACAGCTGGCATGAGAAGTGGAGGGTCATGAGCAGGCAATGAATGCAGAGAGCAGAGCTGGGAACATGGAGCCACTCCCTGGCAGCCCATGCCATGCCCCACATACCTCTTGCACCCCACAGTGGGCTCCAGGCCGTAGTAGCCGGGCTGGCACTGCCCACAGGCTCTGCCTGTCACGTGTGGGAGGCAGTGGCACTGGCCCGTGCCAGGATCACAGCCCTCCAGCCTCGGGTCTGAGCCACTGGGGTTGCAATCACAAGCTGTGGGACACAAAACAACCCTTAAATCCCAGCATGGGGCTGGTGGATGGGACTGCAGGAATGGGGCACTGGGGCCTGTAGAACCACGTTCCCCCATCAGCCAAGGCTCCAAAGAGCCTCTGCAGGCCAGAGTATCTGGGGAAGGATGGCAGTAGAGCAAGAGGGCAAAGGGGAACACGTGGGGGTAACCTGGACCATCCATCAGCCCCTAAACCTGCTGGGCATCCCCTTCCACCCTCTGCCTTCACTGCTGGGAGGATTTTGGCTGCAAGTGAGCTGTGCCCGGGGCCTGTACGTACGTGCACACTTCCCAGCAGGGCTGGGAGCCAGCGCATCCCCGTAGAAGCCCGGCCGGCACCTCTGGCAGTGGTCGCCCATTGTGTTGTGGAGGCAGCGCAGGCACCGGCCGGACACGGGGTCACAGTTCCCCACGGCGTTGGGATCCACGTTCCCGTGGCACTGGCAGGGCTCACAGGGATGCACGGCGCCTCTCTGCCCCAGGGGGTCCCCGAAAAACCCGTCATCACAGAGCTCACAGCGTTTTCCTGGGGAAGGCGGAAAGGTGGGGATGATCCAGCCGTGCCCACGCTGCCCACAGCCCCTGCGCCCACGCAGCCCCAGGCTCACCTCTCTGCCCCGGGGGGCAGTGGGTGCAGACCACCTCCCCACTGCCGGGCACCTCGGTGCAGGGCGAGCGGCCAGGGCAGGGGCAGGGCTGGCAGTCATCAGGGCGCCCGAGGAAGGGGTTGCCGTAAAAGCCGGGGCTGCAGCGCTCGCAGGAGGGACCCTCGGTGTTGTGCAAGCACTGGCAGTGCCCTGCGGGGAGGAAAACAGAGCTGGGGGTCCGCGAAAACCCAACCCCGAGTAACAGCAGGGACTGCGGGAGGGATGGAGAGCCGGATGTGCAGCTCCAAGCGAGGGGTCGCACATCTCCAACCAGTACTCGGGATATTTTCCCTCCTCGCCCTGTCTTTGGTGGAAGGAGAAGGTTTTGGAGAGGACACGGAGGCGATGCAGGGACGAGGCAGCGCTGGCACAGACAGCACCATCAATGTGTGCGGAGGCTGCCGGCGCCTGCCGTAATCCACAACACATTTCTGAGCGTCGAGGCGCGTCCTTTCCAGCCCGCCCTGGAAAACACGAGCAGCCGGGCCGGCACCCACCGGGGAGCATCTCCTCCAGAGCGAGCCGAGCCCGTGAGTCAGCCTCCCGAAATCGGCTGTGAGCAGGAGAGGGAGGAAGAGGAGGAAGAGTGCTCCAGGAACCCCCCGCCTCCAGGCAGATGCTCTGCTTCACTGGAGAGAAAGGAGTCAGGGGGAGGATTTCCCCCCGAGTTCTGTGGGGTCGGGTCATACCAGGAAGGCTGCGCAGGAGGGGGTGTTATTCCATTTTCCCCACATCCAGGCAGAGTCAGACGATGGAAAATAAAGAAAAAGCGGGTGGCAGGAAGAAGTGGAAAAATAAACTGAAGGAACTAAAGGAAGTGCGCAGGCTGGCAGCGCCCGGGCCGGAACATCAAAAGTCTGGCCCCATCCCTGGGGATTGTGCAGCCGGCGGCGCCAGCCCCGCTCTGCGGAGTGAGGGCGGCTTTGCAGAGCTGCTGCCGTGGTTTTGTGGGCAGGGCAGGGGCATTCGCCGAGCACTCTGCCTCCTCCAGCCCTCTCCATCCCCGCCGTGCATCGTTTATTGAGGAGAGCCAGCCACCGAGGGTTTGGGCTGGCAGCACAAGAGCTGGCTCCTCTGGTGTCTTTCCTCTGTGTTTTCCTGCTTTTTTCCTTGTTTCTCTGATCAGGTTAACCCTCAGTTTGCAGATTCCAGAGCTGCACCCAGTCCGGCTCCTCTCATTGGGCTGTGAAGCTGCCTGTGAGACCCAGCCTAGCAAAACCCTCTCTGCTGCCCTGACCCCTGCTCCCCTACTCTAAGCACCAACACCCTTCCCTTCTCCTTAGAGGTCATAAAGTATCATGAAAAATGCTCCTCTAATTATAAATTACCACCATTATTGCACTTAATTAATCATCTCTATCTTTGCAGTCACGAACCCTGTCCCTAGAACCACCCAAGCGATTCAACTTGCAAATTTTGGGAACCACAACCTCACCAATGGCTCCCTCAGAACAAGCAAAGGCACGGATTTGTTCCACCCCCGCAGGAGCAGCAGGTGAGTGGCGGGGAGGGGTGCACACCTGTGAGGGGGTGGCAGTGCCCGTGCTGGTTGCAGGTGCAGGGCACGCAGCTGACGAAGGGGCCGCCAAATGGGATCTCCCTCTTGAATCCAGGTGCACAGGACTGGCAGAACTGCCCGGTGTATCCCATGGGACACGTGCACTCCTCCACCCAGCCCGCCCGTGTGCCTGGCCCGGGGCGAGCAGATGTGAGCTGGACCTTGCTCAGGGACAGCCTGCCTGTGAGAGGGAGAACGGTGTGGGAATGGGATGGTGCATCCCCTGCTCTGCTCTGAAATGCTCCAGACAGGCACAGGAGACCCCAAAACCCCTCCTTGAGAGCCCAGGGGTGTTCACAGAGAGGAGGCAACCCCTGCCCCAAAACACCCCCGACAATCCCTCTCATCCTCGAGAGCCTGCTGCTGCATTGATGTCTCCAGTCCCACCCCAGGTTGTCCCCCTGGGGACGTTCTGTGGAGCCACCCACCTCTGACGGGGCCGCGGCTCACACGGAGGCGGAGGGAGCTCAGGTTGGAGAGCAGGCGCTGGAAGCTGAAGGCCGACAGCAAAGGCTCTGCACCCTCCTCTGCCTCGTGCAGCCTGTTGGAGAGGGAGTGGGGGGGACAGGACAGGGCCAGCCTGAGCTGGGTGCTGTGGGACAGCTCAGCTCCTGGCTGGCACCCAGGCACTGCCAGTTAAATCCCTGAGTGGGGCAGAGAGCAGTAAAGGGCAGCCCAGACAAATCAGGCACTGAGCCCTAAATTCCACTGAGTCTTTCCAAAACTCTGTGATGGGTACCTGAAGGTGACAGCCTGCTTTCCATGCTGGAGCTGGCTCTTGCTGCTGGACATGGTGACCTTCATCCCCTCACCCTCCAGCAGCAGCTGGACCTGCAGCAGGGGCACCCCACGTTCTGTTCTTGTCCCGTTCTCCACTCCCAGCAGCAGGGACAGGAGCTGCCCGTAACTGAGGCGCTGGTTCTGCAGAAACTTCTCTGTGAGGGCAGAGAGGAGCAAAGTCTGTAGGACATGGAGGCACCAGCTCTGCCAGGACTGCCAGTGCAGTTCTATTCCCACCACCAGCAGGAGCCACAGTCACCCTCCTAGAGTGGTGCCAGCTCCAACCTGCCCTCCTGGGATCCTGGTCCACTGTTCCAATACCCCCACTGTCCTCAGCTACAGAAACATGCTCAGCTCTGGAATGGAGCCCAGTGCCTCCTGCACCAGCATGGCAGTGGGATGAGAGCACCAGGGGGTCCTCCCGGCAGAGCAGCCCCCCAGGGACCCAGCACACACAATACCTGGTGCAAGAAAATCCACCAGCTCCTCTCCGTCCCACTCGGTGATGATCTCCCGGCCAGCCCAGCGCAGAGGCAGGTCTGTGGTGCCTGGAGCTGTGGCAGCCCAGCCCTCCAGCCCTGTGTGACAGCATACAGTGACAGGCACAGCTAAAGGAGCAGAGAGTCCCTGCCAGCACAGCACCAGCAGGGTGCTGCTTTCAGGGGCTCTGTGCCTCCTCCCGACACTCTCTGGAGTCTTGGAAGGGGCCAGCACTTTGTAACACCCTGCCCCACTTGGGCTCTGTGTTCTCACGCACTGGAATGTGGCCTTAACCACCCCTCATCTATTTATTTTCTTAGATTTGGAGGAAATTATTATCTTTAAACTTTTGCCCTCCTGCCTGTGCTGCCATTCTAACATTACTGTGGGCTGGAAAGGACAGGAAGCCCGAGGAGAATGCTGGAGAAGCCCAGAAGAGGCAGGCCATACTTGCATTAAGTTGGTTTCCTTAAGAAACCAGTTAAACTCCCCCTCACTCTGCAGGGTTAGTTATTTCTTCCAGCCCTGCAGGACAAACACTTGGAAATCTCTCAAGTGGGCTGTGCTCTATTATCAAATTATCCCAAATTTATACTTTCACCCAGTATAAGAAAATTCCATCTGATCCCCCTCCACTGTGGACTGGGGAGCTGGGATTTAGGAGGGTGCTGTGGCCACATCTCAGCTCAGAAACTGCCAAACCAGACCCCAAAGGAGCAGCCCCAGACTGGCTGCGTGGAGGACGGAAAAAAAGACTCGTTTTAAATCCTGGCTCGGCTTCAAGGCCGTGGAAGACATTCCAGCAGCGCAGCAATTGGCAGCGCGATTTAAAGGCAATTAAGGTCCACCCGTGCCTGGCGCAGCCGTACCCATGTGGGAAGAGCGAGGCGGAGCGGGTGCCCGCCGTGGGTGCCCGTCCCGCGGTGTCCCCGCAGCCGGGCTGCACACCCGGAGTGCGCGGCAGATGGCAGGGTTTCCCCAGCATCCCCAGCATCCAGCCCTGCCAGCAGCCGGGCAAAAGCACCACCTCCCTCCCGCCCGTCCAGCCGCGCTGCCGCATCCCCGCCGAGCGTGGGGAGAGGAGGGAATGATTGGGGGAGTTCCCAGCAGGCTCCGGACTATTTTTTTTTTTTTTGTATTTCTGAGCTGGTCTTTAGTGCTCCTGCAGTCCCTGGTGTGGTGCAATGTCCATGCCTGGCCCCACAGCCCTCCCTGAGCCACGCACAGCCCCAGGAGCAGGTTGGCATGGAGGGGTCACGGACACCCTGTCCCCGTGGAGCTGGGGGCAGAAGCAGAGGTTTAACAGTAAAACAGGGGCGAGCCAGAGAAATCCCTCTCCACCCATCATCACCGGTTAGCTCCAAAGGGAGATGCTCAGCCCCAAAGAGGGACATTCCGCCACATCCTTCCCAAACATTTTTGGCTGAAACTGGCAGAGCAGTGCCCTCCGTTTCATCTGGGTGGTTACCTTGGCTGAAGTCGGAGCGGATGTGGGTCTCCTCGTAGCCATCTGCCGCCCTGCAGGCGCTGGAGTGGCCGTAACAGAAGCAGCTGCTGCAGCCGATGGGGTTGTGGGGCTGCAGGTTAAACCAGCCTGGCTGGCACCTGGACACGGGGAGGAAACAGGGCAGGCAGAGCTGCAGGGAACCACGGCAGTGTCTCTGGGTGGGACACTGGTGACAGCTCCTCTGAGCCCAGTCCCGGTGGTCCAGAGGAATGCAGCCCCACAGCCTTGCCACCAATTTCAGGACTAGAAAGGGACAGTGTTCCTGTCCTCATGCGATGGCCACAGTGCTCACCTGTTGCACAAATGCCCCTCCACCCTCTCCTTGCAGGTGCAGTGCCCCGTGTTGGGGTCGCAGGTGCCCACGCTGCCCGCGGGGTCACAGGTGCAGGGTCTGGATGGGGTGAGATGAGGGCAGGAGGTGAGCCCCGGTCCCATCCCGCTGCCCTTGCCCAGGGCCGGGCTCCTCCTCACCTGCAGCCACCCTCGCTGAGGCTGTGGTAGCCGTCCTTGCAGCGCTCGCACTTCCAGCCCGTCACGTTGGCTTTGCAGACGCAGGTCCCCGAGTTGTCACACTGGGGCTGCAGGGAACCTGCGGGGACCCAGGCCATCCCTGAGGCTCAACCCCAGCCGGGGAGAGACCGAGAAAAATGGGGAAACCCCGAGCAAGACAGAATCCACCAAAACCATCCCTCCAGCAAACTCCAGCTGGGGCAGTAGTTTTGCAGCCGGAGCTTGGCACGCACCTGCGGGGTGGCAGTGGCAGGGCTGGCAGGCTCCCTGCGGCTCCCAGCGGTAATAGTTCTGCCGGCAGCTCTCGCAGTGGGGCCCGGCCGTGTTGTCGCGGCAGTTGCGGCAGTGTCCCCCGTGCCCGCTGCGCCGGAACAGCTCCCGGTCGTAGAAACACTCCTCGGAGCGGCCGCTGCAGTTGCAGGCTGCGGGAAAGGAGGGAGGACGGATGAGCTCCTGGAGGGCACTGGAGGTTATGGCAACCTCCTGTAGGGTCGGATTGGCCGGGTGGGACCCCTTGGCTCAGCAGCGAGAGCTTTCAGAGGTGCCTCTGCCCTTGGATGCAGACATGGGTGCAGTACAAAGCAGATGGCTGCACTCGTGGGGTAAAGGGAATGGAAATACTCGGGGTGCTGCAGTGAAGGGGAGCCCTGGGGTACAAATCCCTCCCAAAACGGAGCAGGTGCAGGAAGGGCAGGAGGTGCCAGAGGAGCTGATGCAGCACCAGCACAGCCCATCGGGGCCAGCCACGGCTGTGGCCACGGAGCCACCCGGGATACTCACGGAGGCACTCGTTGGCAGCCTCGGCCGTGCCGCGCGCCCAGGGCCGGTCCTGGTAGAAGGGCTGGCAGCGCTCGCAGTCGGTGCCAGCCGTGTGGTGCTGGCACACACAGACCAGCTGCCCGGCCTCGTCCGGCGCGCACTCGCTGGCATGGCCATTGCATTTGCACCTGCAGTGAGACCCCAGCACGGGGCAGCTGCTCTGAGCACCAGTGTGGGCAGCAGCAGCAGCAGTGGGACGGTGCCCAGGCTGTGCAGTGTGTGACCCTGCTGCTGGGCTGGCTGTGGGGTGGGAGCAGCTGGGGCTGTGCTGGCCTTGAGGACACCCATCATGTCCCTGAGGCTCTCCCAGCCTGGGCAGTCGGGAGGTGACACGCTGAGGGTGGCCTGTGCTAACCAGCTGCAGCTGCTGACCCCAGAGGTGGGACAGCAGCTACAGATCTGCCTGGGGCAGACAGCACTCTCAGGGATGGGAAAATTTTCCACTTGTCCCAGCTGGGGAAGGGCATGTGCAGCACAGCCTGGAGGCAGCACCAGGAGGGTGCCACCTGCATCTCTATCCCACATCTGCTGCCCTTTCCTGCTGGCAGCTGGTCCAGCTTCTCTGGCCATGCTGACTCCAAGCTCCTCCAGCAGCCTCTGCAGCTTCAGGTCATCTTTCCACTAGAACCCCATGGCTCCCCTTTTGCAGTGCCCAGGAACCAGCAGGGTCACAGGAGGAGCAACACAAGCCCCAGTGTCATTAAAAGCCATTGGGCTGGGAGAGAACAAAGCAAATACAGCTGGTGGCACATGGAGTGGGGCAGTGGGCAAAGGGAAATCTTTCTGCACAGATGGGAGGTTTCCAAGGTTTAATCACCCATCTCTGCACTTCCAGCTCCATTTTACACATGGAGGAAGCCACATCTGAGCAGTTTGCCCCAAAATCCCAATTCAGACAAGACTGAGGTGGGGCGCAGCTGCCCCAGTCCTGCAGCCCCAAGAAGATCCCCACACTTCTGCCTGGCTGCCCCTCACCTGCCACCAACGGAGAAGTCAGATATGGCATAGTAGTACGACTGCAACACCTTGGGGTCCTTGAAGATGTCATCCCCAAACGTGTTGAGCCGGTTCAAGGAGATGAGCAGGTCAGTGACTGTCACCCACTCCTGCAGGGGACATGGGAAAGCCACCTTGGTGGAGAGGTCTGGGCCACCAGCTCCCAGCCCAACAGGGACACATCCTGCAACTTTTCAAGCAGGGATGCATCTCGTAGGCTTTGCCTGGAGACAGACCCACCATGCTGCAACCCTCTGCCGGCCACCCAGTGGGCACCACAGCCTGGATTATCCCAACAGCACCACCAGCACTTCTACCCCGGCTGGGTGCAATAATGCCCTTGATCCCAAGGCTCCATGCACCACATCCCCTCCCACCCCAGTGGCACCTGCAGTGCTGGGCTTCCATCAAAATTGTAGGCGCTGGGCCGTCCCTCCAGGGTGGAGAAGGCCACGTTGCCCCCGCTGAGGGGGGAGATGTCGCTGAACTCGTCGCTGCAGAAGGCCACCTGCTCGTCCTCGCCCGGCCGCAGGTACTGCCGGGGCTGCTTCCCGTAGGTTTTCTGGCAGGAGGCACTGTAGAACTGGAAGGGCACCCAGGGCCCCTCGGCGCGGCTGCGCTTGTAGATGGAGAAGCTCTCGGGGCGGCTGGTGTGGAACTTCAGCCTCACATAGGTGATCTCGTAGGCTTTGCCTGGGGATGGGCACGCCGTGCTGCGACCCTCTGCTGGCCACCCGGTGGGCACCGCAGCCTGGGTCATCCCAACAGCCTCCTGCAGCACCCACCTCAGCTAAAAATGGACAACTCGCCACCCCCGCCCTGCTGCCCTCCACCAGCTCCTCCTTGCTGCAGCCCAAACCCTTGTCCAGATCCAAGCTGGCTCGCCCCAGTGCAGGGCCCACCCCTTGTGTGGTGCACTGGGTGGGTTGCATGGGCAAAGAGCAGTTCTAAATCCAAGCTCCATCCAGCAGCTGTTGGGCAGAGTAAGGCCCACAGCACTGAAAGCATCCCCAGGGTGGTGGAGCTTTAGGGATGGAGAGCTGGAAAAGGTCAAGGCCAATGCCTTCCCAGGGACCTGCATGCCAGGACCTGGCATCGCTTCCATCCTTGCTGGGATGGAGACAAAGAGAAGCCACCAATCCTTGGGGCGTCCGGCGAGCTCTGAAAGAGCTTGAAAGGATTAGCAGAAAGGAAAAGAGAAAACACCAAAGTGAACATCAGACCCACTTAATTGCCAGAGATGAAGGACCAGCTCAAAGCCCGAATTGCTCCATAACAGCACCACTCCTGACAGCACAAAACAATTAGCTGCAAGGTTTTGGCTTTATTTGAAAAGATAATGAGTTGGGAATGTTAGAGGGGTTATTCCGGGACTAGGAAAACAAGCCTTTAATTGGGCCCATATGAATACTGTCGCGTATGTGCTGCGACTTTGCTGCGGGGGAGCCGAGGCAGCCGGCTACCAGCGCTGGGAAAAGCAGCTGCGTCCCATCAGGGATGCAGGAAGCGCCCGGAGAGGGGGACAGACCCACTCCCAGCCCACCCGGAGGTGACGAGGGCCAAGAAGGGGCTGTCCCACCCTTGCCTTGTGCTTCTCCCCTGCCTCTGGGACCGCTCCAGCTGGTGGCAGGGGGGTGGCCCTGTCCTGCACCCAGCGCAGGGGGCACGCCTGGCAGGCGCCGGTTCCCAGACAGCGCCGTCCCAAGGGGGCTGTTACCAAAACAGCGAGGTCGGGGCCGTCACCTCCCGAGCAGTTTCCTCTGGGAGAGGAAGGGAAGGCAGGGCTGTGTCAACAAACTGCCCCTGCCCCAAGTGGCCCCGTGCGAGGGGAGGGGACGGCCACGCTGGGGGAGCCCCATGTTGGTGCCTCCAGCTGGGCTGGAGCAGATTCACTTTTCCAAGGAATTTTCGTGAGAGGAGAAATTTGGCGGATTAAAAAGCCTGTCTGAGAATTTTCATGTGCTTTTCCCAGACAGGCTTTTTAATCAGCCGATTTCTCCTAAGGAAAAAAACCCCAAAGATCCAGAAAATAAACCAGGCTGATTGTCTCCTCTTTGCTGCTCAGGTGTGACATGTCCCAAAGCCAGATGTGCTGCTGGACAGATGCTGGGAAGGGTGCACAGGCAGCACCAGGACCCCTGGGTGCTCTCCCAGCTGTGCTTCACCTGAACAAAGTGTGCACCTGCCTTCCCCTGAGCCCAAACTGCAGCTTGTACTGCTCTGGGGCTCCAAGAAGAGAATTCTGGAGAGGAGGAAAGGAGCATGTGGGACAGTCATGTCACCTATGTGTCCTGTCATCTCTAGTCCCACAGGAAAATCAGAGTCACAGACACAGATAGTGCCTGATCTAGACACTCCAAAACGAGCCATTGGCATTCAGATTGCTTCCTGAGGAGCCCTGGTGTCTGTTGCCTTTGCAAGCCACGGATATTTTGGGCTCCTTCCTGACGTCTGACAGGGCAAATACAAGAGCTGTGGACACTTGGGATGATCGACCAGCTGCGAGCCCACTGCACCATGGCTGGAACCTCATGGAGAGAGGAGATTTAAAGGAGCACAATCTAATTAACGCCAATCAACAACATGCAGGTAAACACGGGTCTTGTCCAAGTCATCCCATGTCTTATTTAATAAGCTCCCCAGGCAACCACGCTGGAGAACTTACAAGAGGTGTGACTGAGCAAGACAGGCAGGCTGAGGGGACACACTACATGGGATGGAACACCCAATTACTTGGTGCAGCTCAGGAGCAAGGACTCAGCCCAGGCTGCATTCCAGGGGACTGCAGCTGGACTTTTCCTGCTTAACCCAAGTGAAAGCATTAAGGCTGCAATAAAATCATCTGTGGCTGGGACAAGAGCAGGGCCTGGCAACTGTGGGAAAGGTCAGACAGTGAGGTGCCAAGCACCAAGAGGGTATTTTTTAGCATGGCAAGATGCAGGAGCCATGCAGGAAGAAGGGTACAATGGCAGAGATGCTCCAGCTCACGAAGGGCTATAGGGACAGGCTGGGAGATGAGCATGGTGCAATGCTTGAGCCTTGGCTGTGTTAACAGACAGACACAGCAGGGCAGTCACAGGGACTGGGCTCCACTGGAAACACCAGTGTGGGGTCCAAGAAGGACCACAGAGGAGCCAGGGAAGAGCTGGAGGAAGGACAGAGAATGGGAAAGAAGCCCCGGGGCTTGCAGAGCCCGCACATGTCGCTGTGCCGAGCTGGGACTGGTGGCCACAAAGTCGCCCGGCAGCTGCTGGCTCAGCCACACAGGCTGCACTCGGGTGGTCTGTGCCCCGGGTCACCCACCAGCGGGTTCGGGACAATCTGACAGCCTGCCTTGGGTGGACAAGAGGCCGGCAAATGCCCTCTGTGAGGCTGGCAGGAGCAGGGAGCGAGGATGGCAGGCTGAGGATGGAGCCCGGGGACAGCACCAGATGTCCTGGTCCCGCAGGGGGCTGGGAAAGCAGCGACCTCACCCAGCCGGGGATCTCCCATCACTGCCGGGACCCTCCACAGCTACTCCGACCATGCTGGGTGCCAGCAGCAGGGCTCAGTGCCACCCCGACACCCAGCTGTGCCCTCAGCAGCTCCAGCCGCAGCCCCTCCACTACCCGCCTTCGGCATGCAGATGGCAGGAGACTGCAGAGAATGAAGATTTTACAGCGCTGGCCAGCAGCCAGGAGGGTTTAGATGGCAGGAAAATGTTATAAAACCTTTTTAAAATGCCAGGCATGCCCCTTGGGTTTAGGTACCCTCCAGGTGGGCGGCTTGCACGGTATTTAAAACACAGGGGGTCGGACGCCAGCTGGGGAAACCTGCTGGGATTGCACGGTGTGTCTGGAGCTCGGCACCCTGAGCCATACCAGGCACGGGGGAGAAACAGGAGCGGCTTGGCACCCATGGCAGTCACCCTCCCCGGGCAAGGCTCTCCCAGGGTGGGAACCATCTGCTCCTGCTCCGCAGACTTCCAAAATCAGGGGAAAGAGCAGCCTGGGGTGAAGGGGGGAGCAGGCACTCCGAGCATGGCTGGCTGGGAAGCAGCACAGGCACAGCTCCTGGCATCCCGGGGCTCGGCTGATGGACAGGGCAGACCCTCCCCGAGTCCTTTCAGTGCTCTGCAGAGAGCAGCTCCCTCCACACACCCCCTAAAAAGCCCTGGGGAGGGTCCTGCCCTTAATCCAGCGCTGGCAGGAAGAGCTGCAGGGTGCAGCAGCACCCACCCCCATCTCTGCCCCCCGCTCTCGATTCACTGGCTCCTGCTGGCACTTACCCAGGCGCAGGGTGATGTTCACGGAGTTGGGGTACTGGATGCCAAAGGCCATGGACTGGCTCTGCCACCAGGTGCTCTCCTCCTGGCTGTGGAAGTCGGTGAGGAGGGAGGCGTTGTGGTGGCGCCGGGGGTCGCTGGCGTCGCAGCGGTGGCACAGGGCGCTGGCGTGCTGGGTGCCCATGTGCAGGCAATAATCCTCCGGGGGCGACCCGCACGTGTTGGTGGCCTGGACGGCCCGGCCGAAGGCGGCGTTCTCGAAGACGGGCATGCAGCGGCGGGGCTGCCCCCGAGGGTCCCAGCACGGGGACGAGCCCCCCGCCCCCAGGGCCAGCAGGGCCAGCAGGCAGAGCCCGGGAGGCCGTGCCATGCCGCGCCTCTCCCGGCTCTCTCTGAGCCTCCTCTGGATGGCAGGGCGGCAGCAGGCGGGACGGGACGGGATGGGATGGGACGGGGTGGGATGGGATGGGACGGGTCCCCCTGCCCGGCACCTCCTCTCGCTCCGAGGTCCATCTTGTGGAAGCTGCTGGGAATGTCGAAATGTTCGTGTGTGAGGCAGAGCTGTGGAGTTTGGGATCCCCGCAGGACATCCTCGTGCCCAGGCAGAGGGGATGGGACCATCCGGTGCTCCATCCCCAAAACAATTCCATTGCTTTGTGGACTGGGGATTTGCGTCTTCAGCTGTGTGGGCACAGCTGAGCTCCTCCATTTCTCAGCCCTGGGAATGAGCTTGTGGTGCCTCGCATGAGGCTTTTTTCCTTCAGTTTGTAGGGGTCACAGCTTTTCTTGCAGCCCCAAAATCAAGAGGAGAATAGGGAAAGGCTTTGAAAGAGATTCAGCACCTTCTTCACCCCACCCTGATTTATGGGGGGCATTAACTGCTCTCCTGCTTACACCAGCCTGCCTGGGTTGTGGGTCTGTGACACCCCAACTCCTCCACACCAGGACCCTCCAGTGGGGGGTCCCATCCCTTCCTGTTGCCCTGAGCCAGCCCAGTCCCCTGGACCCGAGTCAGGGCACCTTCCTGTGGAGGCATCTCCATGGGGTGGCAAAGCCAGATCATCACCAGACCTCATTAGCAGCTCTCAGCTAATGCTAATTACAGTCCGTGCCAGGGGAATCCCTCTGGGGACCATGGAACCCTCCAGATCTGACCCGTGGTGGCAGGAGGGTGACATCAAACAGGGAGAGAGGCAGCCTGGCACGGTGCCATGCCCCTGGGCACACCCTGACCCACACGGGGCTGTATTTGCAAAAGTGGGATGCACAGGGGATCTCTGCCTCTGACCCCCACACCACTTCTCTGAGCTGCCCACAGGGCCTCTGGAAACTTAGCACTCATTTATAATTTAAGCTCCCTTCCTCCCCTTCCCTTCCACTCTTATTTATTTTATTCTCCTTCCCCTACACGCTGCAGGAGCAAGCACCAGAGGGGAGCTGTGAATCAGAGTCCCGGGCAGCGGCTCCGCAGCAGCGCCGTTTCAAAGCCCCATTATCATATATTGACCCAGCTCTGACAGCCAGAGCCAGCTCCTCTGGGAAGGCTGAATTTCCCAGCATCCAGGAGCTGTGCAGCAGCTGCCTGGGAGTGGGCGGCCAGTGGGAAACCCACTGTCAACCTCCGGGGAGAGGGAGAAGGGTTTGCAGCTCAATAATTGCCCCATGCGTTTCCACCACCAGTTTTGATGGGATTTGCATCCTGCAGAGATGAGGTTTTCCAGGTGTTTTGCTTTTCCTGTGGTGCTGAGGCTGTAAGCTCAGGACAGGAGACAGAATCATAAAATACTCTGAGTTGGAAGAGACCCAAAAGGATCACTGAGCCCAACTCTTAAGTGAATGACCCATATGGGGATTGAAGCCAGGACCTTGGCACTATTAACACCATGCTCTAACCAAATCTTTTGTGCCAAGGGTTTGCCTCCTCCTCCTTGGGATGCAGCACACATCCATGAGAGGGTTTTCCTGCCCCTGTTACAGAGGGGTTAAAGAGTGATGACACCACACAACGAGTATCCCAATCTCACCAATCTCCTCCAGCACAGCCCACTGGGTGTGGGGGGATGGCCCACAGGGCCACAGCTCAGTGGGAACTGGTGGTGACACTGCTGTGCTCAGCAGTGGGGATGCTGCAGCTGGCCTGGGAACTGCACATTCCCAGAGGGATTCAGCTGTACCCCAGACTGGATGAGTCCTCACCAGGCTCCATCCTGGTGGGCACAAGTTTGCCCCTTGCCCAAGGGGATGCCCTACACTTGCTGTGGTCCACTGGTAACACAGCCCAACCTCACCTGAAGCCCTCTGTACCTGGAAAGACTTCAGACACTGCTCCAGAGCTTTGCTCCAAGCACTTGAGGGATGTGGTGACTAAGGTTGTGATGACACCAACCTGTCCAGGAGCCTTCTTCTGCCCCAACGCAGACCTGGAACCCCGCAAGGGTTAAAAGCTGTGGAGGCGGAGAGGAGAAAATGTTCTTCTGATTTGCTTAATGAACGTTAATTAAGAAGACAGAAGATAGCAGATTCCTTCAGGGTAGAGATGAAAGGCCCGTTAATTAAATCTGGAGAGCAGGAACAGGGCCAACTGATCCTCCTCCTGATCAGACCTGACAAGGCAGGCGCGGGGCAGGAGCGAGGTGTGCCAGATCCCACAGCCCCTCGTGTCCCACAGCCCAGCTCCAGGCTGGCAGCACGGCCAGGTTTGGGCAGCGTGTGTGGGACTGGGTGCCACCTACCTGCCTCCAGTGCCCGTGAGGCTGAGGGTGGCCCCATCCATGCCCTGGGGCTGGGTGAGAGCTGGGTCAGTGCCCCTGGCTCCACTGCACTCCTGGAGTGGTTCTGCTCTTAGTTTCCAGCAGGACCTTCTCCCAAAGGGGTGAGCTGACCTTGCTGGAGGAAGGGGAACACAGGATGGCCAGCTCCATCCTGAGGAAGAGAAGGTTTGCTCACCAGCTTGGTGGTGCCACCACCCACAGGAGCTGGCCACAGGTTAAATGGGAGAGGGTCAGGAAGGCACTGACCACCACCTTGTGCCACAGAGGGACAAGCTTCTGGGATGGACACCTGCCTGTGTTTGAGCACACACACTGCCTCACCCTCCTGGAGCAGGCAGCTCCTTCCACCAGTGATCTGCCAAAAATGGCTTTTGTGCCTGTAGCTGAGACCTGGGGGCTGGGGCACAGTAAGAGGATTCTGCTGGCAGCCTGCTGCCTCCATGCTCTGCTCCCGCTTTCAGCACAGCCTTATTTTTAAAAGCAGAGCACTTGAGCATCCCAAATCACAGCCCAAAACCCACAGCAGCCCCACCTGGCCCTCTGTGACACCGTGGCCAGTTCCCTCTCCCCCTGCATCCCTCGCCCTGGGGCTGGAGCAGGGGTTGGGGGCAGGCTGAGCTGCAGGATGCCACGAGCATTCCAATGAGCACAGACACTGCTCTGCCGCTCTCCCAGCACACACAGCCCTGCGAGGGGGACAGCTGGGGTGGCAGGGTGCTCTTTGCCACAAACAGCAGCCCCTTGGGCAGAGAGAAGGAAAGGACAGCTGCCAGCACACCCCCCAGCTCTGCCGACCACGGAGTGAAGCCCCCATCTTCAGTGCAGTGGGAAGCTGAAGCTGCAGTGTAAATAATGGCTGGAGCATCTCTCGTGTGCACTGGCTTATTTTGTAAACCTGAACTTTGCAAAATGTCACAAAACGGAGAAATGAGAGGCCTGGGATGAGTAAATCTCTATTAAAAATTCCCTGGGATGGCAGCAGTGATGTTCTCGCTCGATGATGGCACATTCCAGCCCAGCCCAGCCCGGGGAGCGGGGTCATGCGTGGCGCTGATTGCAGAAAGTATTTAATTAACACTGCCGTAAAGGAGATGCCAGCCAGACCACGGCGGGCCACGACGCTGCTGAGCTGCAGGAAGTTTTGCCAAGGCTGACAGGAGATGAGGGAGGGCGGAGAAAATCCAGTAGATTTCGCTCCCTGCTTTGCCACAGCCCTCAAGGGGCAAGGGAAGGATGGGACAGTGGCACTGTCAGGATGTCCCCTGAGCCAGAAGGCTTCACCCTCAGTGCCCAGACAAGTGGGGAAACCCCATAAGGGGTAAAGGAGCTCTCTCCCAGAGCAATTGTCAGGACACACATCACCATCCTCTTCCCTGATGCACAAATGGTCTAAAGTCACCTTTTCAGAGATAATCATCCCAAATTCTCTCAATACCTGGCAGACAGTGAAAATAGGAACATCTCAGCTTCACTCGTGCATGACCACAAGCTCATCATCTCGCTGATGAGCTGCACTACTCCAGATCTGACCCAGCTCAAGGACACAGGGTGACAGCCAAGCCATCACTGTCCCCAGGACACACATTTCACCCACTGCTTTGGGCTCAGGAGCTCGGGGAGCACGGCAGGAGCAAGCACCAGGTCAGAGCAGGACCAGCCGGTTTCAGGCACAGCCAAAAAGGATCTTTTCTCTCCTGAGCTCATCAGCAGCTTAATGACACTGGCTAAAAAGCTTCAGAGTCCCTAATCGCTCATCATATTACGGCTGCTCACGAGTGAGGCCAACCAGTACAAACCTCCTCGAAGCCTTTCTAATTAACGAGCAGAGGCTTAGGCTCTCCCAGCCCAAAAGCAGCATCTCAGATAAACCAGCAGCCTCCTGCCAGCCCCAGTCCCCTTGGTAAACCCTTTAATGGGCTTGTCAGCATCACCCGAGGCCACTCCACTGGCTAATGAGGCATGTCTGTCTGTCTGTCCCCCCCTGCCTCTGTGCTGTGGGTGGGGAGATGTCCATCTGCCATCCATCATCCATCCATCCATCCATCCATCCATCCATCCATCCATCCATCATCCATCCATCATCCATCCATCATCCATCCATCCATCCATCCATCCATCCATCCATCCATCATCCATCCATCCATCCATCCATCCATCCATCCATCCATCCATCATCCATCCATCATCCATCCATCCATCCATCCATCCATCCATCCATCCATCCATCATCATCCATCCATCCATCCATCCATCCATCCATCCATCCATCCATCATCCATCCATCCATCCATCCATCCATCCATCCATCCATCCATCCATCATCCATCCATCCATCCATCCATCCATCCATCCATCCATCCATCATCCATCCATCCATCATCCATCCATCATCCATCCATCCATCCATCCATCCATCCATCCATCCATCCATCCATCCATCCCCACCACGGCAGAGCCATGGGATGTTCCTGCCATGGCTGCTCCTAACCCTCTGCAGGATCCCTGGACACGTGCCCTGCCTACCCCATCCATGAGGTGCCCTGATTTCCCCTTCACCGGGAGGGTGGGTGACAGCTGAGCAGCAGCAGATGCCACCAGATGGTCACCACAAGGAGAGACCCGGCTAAACTGGTGCCTGGGAGGAC